TTGAGGCTTTTAGTATGAATATGTTGATAATGAATATAAAACAGTTCAAAAATAACAGCATCTGACTTCCGCCAATATGGAAAAATGATTTTGATGACGTCACTTCTCATCAGATTTTGTGTCCAATCAAATGCTCCCTATAATATGAAACCCCCGCCCCCTACAGGCCTACACCTGTGACCTCATTGCATAAAAAATAAATAAAATAAAATAAAATAAATATTGCAAATGAAATAAATATTTTTGTTGACTAACCGTTTTATAAAATCAATAAGCCCTGTGAAGTCGTGAATTACAATGAAATACAGCTAAGGGGCATTTTTTAATGTTCATTTACCTGATGTTGTTTCAGAAGTACAGTTGCTACAACCTAAACACAGGCTAAAGTTTTATTCTAACGTCTTTTTTTTTTTTTTTTTTTTTTTTGCGTTATCATTTTTTTATTCTTCGTTTAGACGAGCGTTTTGGGTGGGAAATTCGTGTGCATATGGTGACGCAAAAGTGTGTGAAATTCTTTTTTTTTTTTTTTAACAGTCAGACATACATACAAACAAACCAACATAGTGCAGTGGTGAGCAATCTTGTAAATCCACAATTCTAACGTCTAATATTTCAACTACTGATTTTTTTTTTTTTTTCAAAGAAAAACATTTGCAATATTATGTAACCAGTTGATTAATATGAACCGGGATAAAAAAAAAAGTAATAATGCTACATTGTTTGTGATCAAGTCTTGCACAAAAGGCTTAACATCTCAAATATTTCCTGTAAGTTCATGGAAGTTTTCCTCTTTTTTTTTTCTTCTTCTCGCAAATCCTAACATTGCACACACACACACATGGCCTTCAACACACTTTAAACAGCTCTGATGTATTAGTGTACTCAGCAGCTCTCAGAGCAGAAAGGACTGCACAGAATAAACACATATAATGAAAAGTCATCATTTCTCTTGACTTTTTAGGACATAAACAGAGGCCGTTTTTCATCCATTTTGTTTGCATGCCTGGCTTCTAGCAAAATGCAGTGTAAAATATTAGTCCCCCTCAATCATTTTATCCCTTAAAACTCATCTTTGATCACCAAAAGGACATATTTATAACATAATAAAAATGACAATGTAACTCGACACCCTTGGCTTATTTAGTATGCTTCTATGAATATGCAGATGAGCCCCGCCTCCACTCACTCACTCAGCGATCCACTGGTTGACGATCACACGTTGATCTGATTCGTTACAAGGTCGTTTGTGACGTCAGAAACACCAGCGTGTTTTTGAGACTGTCTTTGGTTCACTGAAAATATTAATACCAATGCTGTCGACTTATGAATTTACACATGATTTGCAAATTAAAAACACCACATAGACATATAAACATTTAAAAAAAAAATTATATAATAATAACAACAATCATGTTGTCAGTGAATTGAGAGCAAACACTTTTGAAACAAACAATTGGTGTGTAATATGTTTATTGTTGGTTGAATAGAAAACAAAAGAAATTACAGGAGCAAAAAATATTTTTCACATGAACACAAAATTACATTTCTAGCAGCTCAGCTTCAATAATCCCTATTTTTCATGAGGATGATGGAGATGATTGAGGTTCAGAAAGCAAGTGCTGCAGTCGTATAAAGTAAGAACAGTTGAGTGAGAAAGAGAAAAACAATGCGAGGCATTTTACTGCACTTTACTGGCCTGTTATGGTAGTTTATAATGAGACATGGCTGTTACTCGAAGCCCTATATCGCCTGTTTTAGGCTTTATAGCATGTGTCGCTATAGGACACGTAAGCACCGGCAGGGACAGACACTCTCAGACACGATATATACAAGAGGTCACAATGTTTGACCTCTCCCTGGCCCTTGGAGGTCAACTCTGGTTTATCTACAGTGCTCAGCGTAAGTGAATACACCCATGCTAAAACTGACTAAAAAGAGGAATAAAAAAAATCATCTTTTGGAAATTGATATTAATGCCTTAATTTAAAAAAAAAATCAATTATGAATGATGTATTTGTAAATAAACAAGTGTTCTTCCTTAAAATACAGGGTGCATGCATTTATTTTTAAAGGACAGTTATTTCATGGATCCAGGATAATATGCATCCTGATAAAGTTCCCTTGGCCTTTGGTATTAAAATATCCCAAATCACACACACCCTTCTCCACACCTAGAGATCGGCATGGGTTTATTTTAATTAAAATGCATTGGTTTGATTTGCATTGAGAGATAATCTTATGGAAAGTTCCCCACGCTGATTAGCATGTGTGTGTTCACTTATGCTAAGCACTGTATGCATGCATATATGAGATATGTACTTAGATGTAAGTACAGTTTTGTTGCGTTGACAACTGTAAACGATATAATCGAGAAGCCTGGTGGAAATGCAGTTGAGTATTTTGAGTGTAGACACATCAGAAAGTGCAGAAAGCAGTCAAATGTATTGATCCCAAAGCTAAAGAGACCTTTACTATTTGCGCATCAGTTCAACATTTACAGAAAAATAAAGATTATTGCGTCCCCTAGATTAGATTCCTTTTGCAATATGCAGGAAAACAAAAGGTAGGATGTGGAAAAAAAACTCTACATAGAACCCAGAGGAACCCTTTTTTAAGAGTGTATAGAACCAAATTTAGGGGTTCCAAATACGTAGCGCTGATAGAACCTTTTAAGGTTCTATATAGAGCCTTTTCTTCTAAGAGTGCACCATGTGCCCATCCTCTGATGGCTACTTCCAGCAGGATAATGCACCATGTCACAAAGCTGGAATCATTTCAAATTGGTTTCTTGAACATGTCAATGAGTTGACTGTAGTAAAATGGCCGCCACAGTCACCAGATCTCAACCCAATAGAGCATTTTTGGGATGTGGTGGAACGGGAGCTTCATCCCACAAATCTCCATCAACTGCAAGGTGCTATCCTATCAATATGGGCCAACATTTCCTTGTTGAATCAATGCCACGTAGAATTAAGGCAAAATGGGGTCAAACACAGTATTAGTGTGGTGTAATCCTTTAGGTGAGTGTATATTTATCATTATATGTGTTTTTCTCTTAAGGTTCACTCAAATATTCAGGCTCTAAATTCCATTATTGATAGCAAGTGTTTCATGACAGATTTATGAATCCAGCGTGCAATAATACACGGGTGGGTGATGAAAAATGAAAAGCTTCTGCACTCCCTGAGTTTCTGAATGTGTCCGTCTGTCTCTCTCGTTCTTTGTCTCCGTCTCTCACGCGTATAAAAACACACCCATCAGTAAAAAAATGGCACGACCAAACCTCTAAGGAGAGTTAAATCACCGACAAATCAACAAACGAAACGCAAGACATGTATGCTTATGTAACCATAAAACAGACTTCTGAGGTATGCACGATTACTTCTGTTTCCAATAAAGACGTCAGTCGATCAGTTTAGCTAAACTACATCTTAAGTCACCAGAAAACATGATCACAGCACTGAAATCTGAAGAGGTGTCTTGTGTTCTGCTTAAACCTGCAGGGTTGAGGCAGTTTGGTTCAGATCGTGACCGTATCGTTTGCTTTTTTAAATGAGTTCTGAGATAAATGCACCCGGAACGAGGTTAATTAGCTCAGAAACCGCTGCTTAAAGGGCTCCTGGGAAATAGTTGACATATAGACGGATGAAAGGACAGCGTACGTGCAAGAGAGAGAAACTACAGCTCTGTTCCAAATACTAGTGAGACCGACACAAAATCATCCAAAAATTGTACAGTTTGGATATGGATATTTCAGCACAATGTGTGTGTCAGTGCACAACAGCGCATGCGCAAGGCGAATGTTGAGACAGAAGAGTCCACTAGGTGGCGATACACAGACGAGATACAAAACATCAACTCTTAAAAACTTTCACGTAGGAGTCTTAGCTTAAAGGAGTAGTTCACTTTTAAAAAAACTTTAGCTGATAATTTACTCGCCCCCATGTCATCCAAGATGTCCACGTCTTTCTTTCTTCAGTCGAAAAGAAATGAAGGTTTTTGATGAAAACATTCCAGGATTTTCTCCATATAATGGACTTCAATGGGGTCCAAACGGTTTTATAAGCACAAATGCTCGCCTTGCTCTGTTCTGGGACTCTCCTGTTCGAAGTTCGAACTCATTCGAACTCGAAATCATTTTTTGAGTCATTTTGTTCAATTCGTTCGTTGAATGAACAAAATGACTCGAAAAAAGATTTGAACAGGAGAGTCACGAATGCGCATCACAGAACAGAGCAAGGCGAGCATTTGTGCTTATAAAACTTTTTTATTTTTGAAATGGCCGATGGTTTCGCTTGATAAGACCCTTAATCATCGTCTGGTGTCGTTTAAAGCCCTTTGAAGCTGCACTGAAACTCTCATTTTGACCTTGAACCGTTTGGACCCCATTGAAGTCCATTATATGGAGAAAATCCTGGAATGTTTTCATCAAAAACCTTCATTTCTTTTCGACTGAAGAAAGAAAGACATGGACATCTTGGATGACATGGGGGTGAGTAAATTATCAGCAAAAGTTTTTTAAAAGTGAACTCCTTTAAGGTCAAAGTTGTTAGGAGTACGGACAAGGACTTTTAAGAGGCTTAAGAGTGTCTTTAGGCTTAAGATACTTTCTGAATGACTTTCCTTTACTTTACTAGGATTTCTTCTTTAATTTTAAGATTTTAAGATTAAGACGTCAAATTTTGTCACTAGGAGCCTCTCTTCGCATTAAGATTATTTATGAATACAGGCCCAGGACTGGATATCATGCAAACATTTTCTGAACGATACTTTTTTATTATACCAATTTTATGAAATCTGTTTATCCAGATTATACCCCCCCCCAACAATATAGGCCATTTATTCATATGCCTCATCTAACACAATGTATTTCTCTTATATGAATTGTTTTATCTCACTGGTTTTTGGAACAGAGACTGAGAAAAAGCTAATGACTGCTCGCACCAATCACGTCTTAAACATGTTTAAACAAGTTATCGACCAAAACAAAGACAAAAAAACAGCTTCAAATGTCATGTTCTTCACATAATAATTGACTAATACTCATAAACATGGCCCACTTTGTATAATACTACTGTGTTGTTTTGCTTAGAGCAATCTGTTCTTTCCTTTCTTAAACAGAATCACAGATGTGACTGTTTTACAGTCGTCGTTCGATCCAGATCACGCTTTGATTGTCTTCATAAGAACCTCAAAGTCCATTCAATTCAAATGCCAGATTTGTTTTTTCCAGTATAACAAACGAGACACAATACATATAACCAAAATATAAATTCTTTAAAAAATACAATAAATGGGAGTCAAATGTGGAAAAAAGAATAAAAACATAGATCTAGCAAATGTAGTGATTCTGTCCTTGAGTGGATCTCACACACACACACACACAAAAGTCGATATAGTCCGATTTTACCCTAAAAATAAGAAATTATATTTTGCATAAAAGGTGCACTGAAAAACGAAATTTGTGTAGGATTTACATTACAAAGAATCGACAAGACATGACATTTTTAAGTAGAAAAAATAAAGTATTTTCTCCTAGAATCAGTTTAATTTACAACTTCTAAAAATATTTTTTGCTGCTTTACTGATTTAATTTATCCGTCCGGATTTGATTACTTTGTTTTCTGCTGTATTGTGATTATGAAAATAAGATTGTTTTCGCATTATATCAATTTGATGGAAAATGTGCTTAATTGTCACAAAGCAAAAAATTATGCAAAATATAATTTCAAATTATCATCGATTCCTTTAGATTTCATCCGGCTCAAGGCTCATGGCACAGTTTGTGAACTCTTAGTGCATAGCTGAACTAAATTTAGCAGGACATTTTAAAAAATCCATAAAAATGATTCCTCGTTTAGTGTGCATTTCTACATAATTCATAAGCGATACACAAACAGCTTCGGTACGTTACGTTGAGATAAATCACGGCTGAGGTTATCAATGTCGATAGAGGAAAGTGCACGAAGAAAGACGGATTTTTCTCATAAAAGTTTCTTACGCTAAAAATCTAAAGCATACAAATCTGATTTGCATAATCTAGAAAATAAATTGAAATTAAGATCTACGGTATCTCTGTAAAACATCAAATCGATGAAGGTTTGGTTTCCTTTTTAAAGGTCCTAATTGAAGCGAAGGCTCCCGCACTGCCTGAGCTCTCCGTTCAGTTTCTGCTCAAACGCGAGCTGGGGATTTCGGCACGAATCCGCATCCGGAAGTCGGAAACGGCAGCGCGGGATTGGACGATCACATCTCCTCTCCGGCACAGGAGAAGAGCAAGGGGGAAAGCCTTGAGACCTTGAGTTTGATTAGAGACAAGCAAAGAGGAAATACACCATCTCTGACACACACTGATGAGTCCCTGCGGAGAGAGAGGAACAACGGACGTCACACACACAGTTTTTCATGTCACGCATCAAATATTAAGCTTCATCTATCTTAGATGCAGAGTCAGAGTCCAAAATTAACTTTTTTAGCGAAAGAAAATCGCAAGCCATAAATATTTCGAAGCATGCATGAAAAGTGGATTTTGCAATTTATTTATTTTTGTATATAGTCGGCCGCATTGAAAACCAGCTTTTAAAAAAAATAGGAATACGTTTTTTATATTTTTGAGCAATTTAAAAGGAAGAAATGCTAAATTAGTTATTTTTATACTGTAAAACAAAAACAAAAAAACAGCAGCATTTTAATTTGACTGATTTAACTTAAATTGACATATCAAGTGATATGACGTTAAAATGCTAAAATATATATATTATTTACCTTTATAATATACTGACAACCATTAAAAATACACATGTGGTAAAAGAAAGTCACATGATAAATCGAAGGCCACTTACACGTTACAGTTAAATTTGGGAAGATTTCACCTTTTAGTGTTTAATCTTGTTCTGTACACACACACACACACACACACACACACACACACATATATATATATATATATATATATATATATATAACAATATGATAAAACCACATAACAAAAAATGACTAAAAACTATAAAAGCTCAATAAAAAAAACTGTTAAAGCTGCTGGCAATTCATTTTGTTTTCCGCTGTGTGTATATATATATATATATATATATACACACATATACATACATATATACATACACACACACACACACAAACATATATATATATATACACACAATATACATACATATATACATACACACACACACACATACATATATATATATATATATATATATATACATACATGACATATCTAAATGTCAAATGATTAATCGCATCCAAAATAATAGTTTGTGTTTACATAATATATGTGGGTGCATTGTATATAATTATTTTGTATGAATAAATACACACACATGCATGTATATTTACTGTAAGAAAAAAATATATATGTAAAAATATTTAGATATAAAATATTTACATTTATATATATATATATATATATAAATTATATATAAATATATGTACAGTATAATGAAAATATTTCTTAAATATATACAAGCATGTGTGTGTATTTACAAAATAATACTTATTAATATAATTATATTATTAATAATTATAATATAATTATAATTATATTAATAATAATCGTGATTAATCATTTGATAGCCCTAATATATATATATATATATATATATATATATATAGTGTTTTTAACATATATATATATACACACACACACTGTGTTTTTACTGTTAAACTGATGATTTTTGCCTGTAGACTCTACCTTTGTGTGTGTGTGGGCTTCATATGTGCGTCTCCATGTCGGTGTATCCTGGCAGCAGGTCTCCGTTGGAGCAGTTCTTCAACATCTTGTCCATGCTGGGGTCGCTGACCTCCTTCTGCCGTCTCTGCGCGCGCCGGTGCGCCAGAGGCACGAAAAACATCACGATCCCCCCCACGATTGGAGGAATCCCAGCCAGATAAAACGCCACGTAGTAGTTCCCAAAATGGTCTCGTAGAAGGCCTGAAAAAAGAAGAAAAAATTAACTTATGAGAGATGAAACGACATTATCACAAAATGTTCAATGAGGAAAAGGTCTAGTTCAGGCTGAAGAGCATCTCATATAACACATGAGAAAATATTTGAAAAGGAAATGTTGTTACTATTATTGTTGCAAAGCTTTAAATAACTGTTTATTAAGTCATTCCAGAGGTCAAGTGTGTATATATATATATATATGTATACATATATGTTTGACCTCTTGAATGACTTAATAAACAGTTATTTTTTCTATTTTCTTTGTCAATTTTTTCTATTTTCTTCAAATATTCTTATTATTTACATGATGAAAATATAAAAAAAAACACAAAAAATAAACATACATTGTCCATTGTCTATGTGTGTGTGTATATATATATATATAATTCAAATTATATTTTGAAATATATATTACAATATATAAACACAAAAGATTATGACAGTGTGTTTTTGTGACATTTGTGCACTGTTTAAAGCACAAACTTGTGTTTCTTATGTGTGTGTGTCTAATCAAGTCAAGTCATCCTCACTTATAAAGCAATTTTAACGACGTAGATTGTTTCAAAGCAGGTTTACAGAGATAAACATATAATTTAAGGTAACAGAGATTGGTTTGGTTTTATAGCGGTTCTTGAATAATGTTATTATTCACAATTGTGTGTGTGTGCATGTGTGTGTGTGTGTATGTGAGTGTGAAAAAGATTAAAGGAAATAAAGATTTCCTTTATAATAACATAAGACATGTATGAAAGTAAATGGGGTCAATTCTGATTTCATGTTGACTTTAAATGAAAAGACTCCTATAAAGAATGAAACTAATGCGATTAAATTCCCCACTACGATTCAAACGCTCTTTATTTCCCCAGGAATTTCAATGAGGCTTGAGGCCTGGAACCAATCTCAAGCAAAACACCCACACAATCGCTTTAGACTTCAGCAAGATCCCCCTCAGTCTCTGATACAAAAGATATAAGATCACTCGAAACTTTAATAAATAAACATTTAGAAGTCCGATCACGGTTCCAAGTAAAATAACAGCAGGTGACGGCCAATCCAAACCTAGTTGTAGTGCTCCCGCCGTGAAGGCCAACACTTTTAAACCAGATCCTGTAAATGATGCTTCTCAGCGGCCCTGAAACCGACCCGCACTTCTAAACAGGGAACGTCAGTCTTTTACAACTCAACCTTGAGACCTGCAAATATAAGACCTGCTTCATCGACCTCCAATTCTTCAAAATGAAAGATTGGATTTGGATTCGGAAACTGAAAACATATGGAGAGCGTCGCTGAACAAGAGCATTTATGTCAACAGTCCAAACTAAATGTGCTCGCAGGGAGACCTTGGAGTTCACCCTCTCAAATAAATCTCATTCCTGTCCACCGGACCCATAAACTGGGAAAACACACAGCCTGTGTGTGTCTTATCTGGGAAACGCAGCCAAGATCAGCATGCTAGCTGATTAAATCACATTTTCATTATTTATCTGCATGTTTTATATAAAGATTTTATTGTGTCTTTAGATGGGATTAGTTACACTGGATGGGAAGAAAGGAATTCACTTGTAGCACACAGACCGTTGAACAAAAAAATAAATTATATATACACACACACACACACACACTACCATTGAAAAGTTTGGGGTCAGTAAGATTTTTTAATGTTTTTGATACAAGTCTATGGAAGCTTGTTTCCACCACTGAATAAAAAATAAAAAAGGTAATTGCAACTTTTCATCTCAAAATTCGGACTTTTTATCTCACAATTGCATGATATAAAGTCGCAATTGTGTTATAAGTCCATTTCTATGGAAAAAAAGATTTTTTTCTCAGAGTTGCATGTTTATATCTTGCAATTCTGACTTTATAACATGAAATTGTGAGTTATAAAGTCAGAATTGCATGAAATGGAGTCGCAAAGTCAGAATTGTGAGATATAAACATATAGAATTGCTTAGAAATGGACTTACAAATTCTGACTTTATATCTCACAATTCTGACTATAACACACATTTGAGACTTTATATGTCACAATTCTGACTTTATAACACAATTGGGTGTTATAAAGTCAGAATTGCATGATATTTAGTCGCAATTGGAAGTTATAAATTCAGAATTGCATGATATAAAGTTGCAATTGGGAGTTATAAATTCAGAATTGCATGACATTAAGTCTCAATTGGGAGATATAAAGTCAGAATTGCATGATATTTAGTCGCAATTGTGTTATAAATTCAGAATTGCATGATATAAAGTTGCAATTGTGTTATAAATTCAGAATTGCATGATATAAAGTTGCAATTAGGAGTTATAAAGCCAGAATTGCACGATATAAACTTGCAATTAGGAGTTATAAATTCAGAATTGCATGATATTAAGTCTCAATTGGGAGATATAAAGTCAGAATTGCATGATATTTAGTCGCAATTGTGTTATAAATTCAGAATTGCATGATATAAAGTTGCAATTGGGAGTTATAAAGTCAGAATTGCATGATATAAAGTTGCAATTGGGAGTTATAAAGTCAGAATTGCATGATATTTAGTCGCAATTGTGTTATAAAGTCAGAATTGCATGATATAAAGTTGCAATTGTGTTATAAATTCAGAATTGCATGATATAAAGTTGCAATTGTGTTATAAAGTTAGAATTGCATGATATAAAGTTGCAATCGGGAGTTATAAATTCAGAATTGCATGATATTTAGTCGCAATTGTGTTATAAAGTCAGAATTGCATGATATAAAGTTGCAATTGTGTTATAAAGTCAGAATTGCATGATATAAAGTCGCAATTGTGTTATAAAGTTAGAATTGCATGATATAAAGTTGCAATCGGGAGTTATAAATTCAGAATTGCATGATATTTAGTCGCATTTGCGTGTTATAAAGTCATGAAGTGTGATGTAAACTCACAATTGTGAGATAAAAAGTCTCAATTATCTTTTAAAATGTTGAATTCTGTGGCTAAATTGTTGGCATTTGTTTATTGCCTAAATTACACCCAAAATTAAAAAATTCATCATTATTTGCTCAGCCTCATATTATATCACATTTTACTGTGACGCATTCACAGGACTTCTACATAATCAAGTCATCTGGTTATGAAACATGTCCCTCACCTGCGAGTGGAGGTCCCGCTGTCATCGGGATGGCCATGAGGCCGAGGAGGTATCCGATGGCTTGGGACGCCTGCATCGGCCCCACCAGCTCGAAGGCGATGGGGGCCATGATCGTGATGAAACAGCCGTCACAGAAACCCATCAGTACGAAAACCACCACCAGGCCTTCGAACGTGGCGCACTGAGGGATCATCATCGACAGCAGACCCAGCAGGATGAACGAAGCCACCTACACACACACACACACACACACACACAACCGTCTTTGAATCCATCAAAGCTTTATTTCAAATCCTCTTAAAATCAAAATCCTCTTTTCCAGCATTTTTCAGCCCTGTATATATATTGACATCATATGACAAATATTCTGTTCACGTTATTATCACTAATGATTCAAAATTAGTTCCACTTGCATAATGAATAATGAACTTCAGAAAGACTGATGACCTTGTGACCTTGAGTGTCTCTGATTTCATTTCATGCTCCGGCGGCGTCGCATTAGAGTTGCTGGATTCTTCCAGTTATGGAAATATTCATCACAAACACTCCGTACCTGCAAGTAGATTTTATTGACTCCGGGAATGAGGTCTCCGATCTTCCCGAACATGAGACGACCGACCCCGGACGACGCTCCGATACACACGAGCAGAAGCCATTCCCTCTGAGTGTCCACAAACCGCTCGTTCACGAAGCTCATCTGTACGACACAAATGAACACATTACACATACAAAATCATCTGCCTGTCTATCTACAGTATCTATAATGCCTGTCTGGCCATCTATCTATCTATCTATATATAATGTCAGTCTGTCTATCTATCTATCTATCTATCTATCTATCTATCTATCTATCTATCTATCTATCTATCTATCTATCTGTCTATCATGTCTGTCTGTCTACCTGTCTATATACAGTATATCTGTCTGTCTGTCTGTCTATCTGTCTGTCTGTCTGTCTGTCTGTCTGTCTGTCTGTCTGTCTGTCTGTCTATCTATCTATCTATCTATCTATCTATCATGTCTGTCTATCCATCCATCCATCCATCCATCCATCTATCTATCTATCTATCTATCTATCTATCTATCTATCTATCTATCTATCTATCTATCTATCTATCTATCTATCTATCTATCTATCTATCTATCTATCTATCTATCTATCATGTCTGTCTGTCTACCTGTCTATATTCAATTCAATTCAAATTGCTTTATTGGCATGACTGTACATACATATATATGTCTGTCTGTCTGTCTGTCTGTCAGTCTATCTATCTATCTATCTATCTATCTATCTATCTATCTATCTATCTATCTATCTATCATGTCTGTCTGTCTGTCTACCTGTCTATATAAAGTATATCTGTCCGTCTGTCTGTCTGTCTGTCTGTCTGTCTGTTTATCTGTCTGTCTGTCTGTCTGTCTATCTATCTACCTATCTATCTATCTATCATGTCTGTCTGTCTGTCTACCTGTCTATATACAGTATATCTGTCTGTCTATCTATCTATCTATCTATCTATCTATCTATCTATCTATCTATCTATCTATCTGTCTGTCTGTCTGTCTATCTATCTATCTGTCTGTCTGTCTATCTATCTATCTATCTATCTATCTATCTATCATGTCTGTCTGTCTACCTGTCTATATACAGTATATCTGTCTGTCTATCTATCTATCTATCTATCTATCTATCTATCTATCTATCTATCTATCTATCTATCTATCTATCTATCTGTCTGTCTGTCTGTCTGTCTGTCTGTCTGTCTATCTATCTATCTATCTATCTATCTATCTATCATGTCTGTCTGTCTACCTGTCTATATACAGTATATCTGTCTGTCTGTCTATCTATCTATCTATCTATCTATCTATCTATCTATCTATCTATCTATCTATCTATCTATCTGTCTGTCTGTCTGTCTGTCTGTCTGTCTGTCTGTCTGTCTGTCTATCTATCTATCTATCTATCATGTCTGTCTGTCTACCTGTCTATATACAGTATATCTGTCTGTCTGTCTGTCAATCTATTTCTCTATCTATCTATGTCTGTCTGTCTGTCTATATATATCTATATCTATGTCTGTCTATCTGTCTATCTATCTCTATAATGTCTGTCTGTCTGTCTATCTGTCTATATATCTGTTTGTCTGTCTGTCTATCTCTATAATGTCTGCCTGTCTCTAAAATGTCTTTCTGTCTGTTTATCTGACTTAATATCTATCTATGTCTGTCTGTCTGTCTGTCTGTCTGTCTATATATATCTAATGTCTTTCTGTGTGTCTATCTGACTCTATACCTATCTATGTCTGTCTAAATATATCTATCTATGTCTGTCTAAATATATCTATCTATGTCTGTCTAAATATATATCTATGTCTGTCTGTTTGTCTATATCTATCTATAAAGTCTGTCTGTCTATAAAAAAATATCAAAAATAAAAATATCAAGCAGCAATTGAGATGCTCCTTCAGCAGAAAAGCAGCATATTAGAATGATTTCTGAAGAAACAAAATGGTAGTGAATCTGAATCTGAAACCGAAAGGACCACAGACAACACGGGACAAACGAAAAAATGTTAAAAGTGAAACTCGATAATGTGACACGTGGAGTAATGATGCTGAAAACTAAGCTTCCCATCACAGGAATAAGTTACATTGTAAAAAGTACTAAAATAGTAATAAATTGTAATAATATTCCACAAAATGTTTGCTTTGTTTTGATCAATAAATGCAGGGAAATAAAAAATCGTACAAACCGCAAACCTTTGACCAATAGTCTGTTTGTCTAACATCAAATGATTTTTTACAGCTCCACTCAGTCGTATCTTGTCCAAACACATAAAGTTAATCTCTTGTGCTAGTTAAGTTTGATTCCCGTGACTTAATAACCATCGCTGGGTTGAACGCTCGTCTTTGTGTGGCCATCGTCTTCATCAAAGCCCCTTTTCTTCAGCCCCATCGACCACGGCATTAATGCGGCTCTGTGGTGGGAACACAGGAAGGCCAGCTATAAGTTGAATATTTCCGATCATAGACGCCCTTGTTTCTAAGAAGGGAAGGCGGAGGTCATGGGGTTAAAAATAAAAAAAAAAATCCTTCAGAAACATTTCCTGACCTTTTGAAAACGGCTTGAATGAGAAAACCTCAGGGGCACATCAAAAGCCATGAGATTTCACATTTAGGTTTAATGCGAAGGAAGGGCTTTCTTATTTCACCACAGAGCGGCGAGAGTCACACACACACAACAAAAGCCGGGACAAAGTGTTTACTTCTGGTCCGATGCCTGTAAAAACACGACTGAAGGTGGAAGAGTGAGACTGAGGCGAGGGGGGAAAGGTCTCTCTCATTAACTTAACACACACACATGTTGGCAAACTCACACATAACCAAATAAACACTTGCTTCAAACACATACCGACGTTTTGACATACATCAACACAACACAATTGCAACAAATGCTGACATAAACACACACACACAGTATCTAAACCTGCATGACATTTCACAACCGCTCAAATGCTTGTGAAAGAAGTCTCTTCTGTTTACTAAATGTACATATTAGCACCTAGAATGTACATATTAGAACCTAAAATTTACATATTGGCACCTCAAATGTACATATTAGCACCTAAAATGTACATATTAGTACCAAGAATGTACATATTAGGACCTAAAATTTACACATTGGCACCTAAAATGTACATATAAGCACCTAAACTGTACATATTAACACCTAAAATGTACATATTAGCACCTACAATGTACATATTAGAACCTAAAATTTACATATTGGCACCTCAAATGTACATATTAGCTCTAAAAATGTACATATTAGTACCAAGAATGTACATATTAGGACCTAAAATGTACATATTAGCTCTAAAAATGCATTTAAATTAACAAAAATACAGTAAAAACTGTAAATATTATTACCATTCAAAACACCTGTTTTCTATGTGAATATATAGTAAAGTGTAATTTATTCCTGTGATTTTCAGCATCATTACTCCAGTGTCCTTCAGAAATCACTCTAATATGATGATTTGATGATCAAGAAACATTTCTGATTAATAATACATATTTTTCAGGATTGTTAAAGTTCAAACGAACAGCATTAATTTGAAGAAAGAATAAAAATGACATTTTTTCCAGTAAAAAAACAACAACAAGCTATAAGCACATTTCCATTAGCCACGCTCTGAACAATTACTGTGTTTTACAGCGAAAGAGAGGATCCATGGCATTTACGTCACGCTTTTCTTTCAGCAAGCTGAAACATCCTCTTTTATCATCACATTTTATGGCCTGTTTACCCAAAGCCCCATTTATGCACTCAGTCCAGCATCTGGAAACTATACAATCGAACAAGCGAGAGCGAGCAGCATTATGGCCATGTGTGTCGGGTATCCGAGTAAAAGTATGTCCATCACTATGACAACAGAGAATGAGTGAGAAGGAAAGGTGAAACAAGGACAGAAATCCCCAGAGTCTGACCTGAGATGACACACGCCGAGTTAATAATTCATCATCAACATGTGTGGACTCATCACATGGGCTTTCCGTCATGCAGAGTGCGGTAAATATTTCAGCTCACAGAACCCTAAAACATTATTTATGCATGGGCCGAGCGCGCCGCTCCTATCGCCTCCTCCGTTTTCCGAATGTTAAATGCACACCGGCTCGACTCGCTGACTGTAAATCAGAGGCGTTTTGTGTTTAGCTGCAGCTTGTGAACAACAGCCTCTGCAAAACAGCACATGTCGTGTTTAATATTCAGTCCAGAAATTAAAATTGACTTTTTTTTCGTATTAACATGCCAACAAAAAATAACTCCCTAAGAATTTATTTTGTTCATTTTTTAATGATTTATTCTGACCAAGGCTGTATCTCAACACTAATTTTACTTGATCTTAGTGCTGTGTTCAACACTATAGGTCCTACCTAAAATGTACATATTAGTACTTGAAATGCACATTTTAGCCCCTAAAATGTACATGTTAACACCTAAAATATACATATTAGCACCTTAAAAATGTACATATTAGCACACCTAGAATGTACATATTAACACCTAAAATGTACATATTAGCACCTTCAATGTACATATTAGTACCTAGAATGTACATATTAGGACCTAAAATTTACATATTAGCACCTCAAATGTACATTTTAGCACCTAAAAAAAATTTTAGGTGCTAAAATGTACATATTAGCTCTAAAAATGTACATATTAGTACCAAGAATGTACATATTAGGACCTAAAATGTACATATTAGCTCTAAAAATGTACATATTAGTACCTAGAATGTACATATTAGGACCTAAAATATACATATTAGTACCTAAAATGGACATATTAGCACCTACAATGTACATATTAGCACCTAGAATGTACATATTAGAACCTAAAATGTACATATTGACACCTAAAATGTACATATTAGCTCTAAAAATGTACATATTAGTACCTAGAATGTACATATTAGAACCTAAAATTTACATATTGGCATCTCAAATGTACATATTAGCACCTAAAATGTACATATTAGCTATAAAAATTTACATATTAGTACCTAGAATGTACATATTAGAACCTAAAATTTACATATTGGCATCTCAAATGTACATATTAGCACCTAAAATGTACATATTAGCTATAAAAATTTACATATTAGTACCAAGAATGTACATATTAGGACCTAAAATATACATATTAGCCCCTAAAATGGACATATTATCACCTAAACTGTATTAACACCTAAAATGGACATATTAGCACCTAAAATGAACATATTAGCACCTAAAATGAACATATTAGCACCTAAAATGTACATATTAGCACCTAGAATGTACACATTAGCACCTAAAATAGACAAGAGTTTACCTTTTGAAAAGGTAATCCCCAGTGTCAGTGTTTCGTACTTTTTTTCTGAGAGTCTATTATCGATATAATATCTGTTTCACAAAATTTGTTTTGCTGTTTTTTTGTTCTCTCAGCCAATATACCCAATTGTTGAATGTCTTTACTAAGATTTCAGTTACCAACCAAATGTAAGGAGGAAATGGTATATAATTACTGTAATAAAAACTTAAATATATATATTTTTTTAAAAGACAGTAAATTGACTTGGAAAATCGTGTTGTATGTTACAAAAACAGCCTTCTTCCACCTCAGAAAAATCGCTAAACTCTGAAACATGCTTTCTTTTTCTGATGCAGAAAAGTCACTTCATGCATTCATGACCTCGAGACGTAAAAGGCTTAAATGGTTGAGCTCCTGTGTATTTAACTGATCTACAATACATCACGCTCTTCAAACTCACTTTAATTGTAAGACATTTACATTCTGCGTTTAGTGTTCTGCTCACGGGTGCAAGAAAGCACAGGAATGCCAAGAGAAATAAATTAAGATCAGTGTGATTTCAAATCCTGACCTTAAATCTAATTAAATGCTATAAAGAAGAATTTAGGTCAGAGTTGTGCAAACAGACATACTGGCTACATTTAATAGATAAAGAAAACGTTATAGCATTTATTGGATTGTGGTAATTTAATAAGCATGACATCTGTATTATTGTATGCTTGTATGTATTGTATTATATACATGTATTATTCTTTAAATGTGGCCTGGTGTGTATAATCCGTCATTATGATTTAGTGCTGCGCCTCTGCTTAGATCACACCTGTGCTTTGGGCCAAATGTGCGGAAAATGAGATATGAATTATGCTCAAAAATCGGACATAATTTAACAACATTTTACTCCCTGGTGAGAGCGAGAACTGCTTTCCCACCACATTTCTGAGACTAAATATTCATATTTTTTGTTAGTAAATCGCTGAAGTCAAGTCACTTGACTTCACTTTCCTGCACAGTGAATGTTGTATTTGTGAGGGTTAATTATAAATAAATTTAATTGAGTAAAATGCAGTTAATTTAACTTAGCATTCTGAAATACATTCACTTTTTTTGACTTTTTGACTTTTTCATTACATAAGATATGAAGTCTTGTTTTCGGAAAAATGTATCAGCGACTTAAAGCTTGCTTAAAAACAAGATAAAATATCTGCCAATAGGCTCAGAAAAATAAAACTTGTTTCCCCTTTAAAAAGTTTATTTTTCTGACCCAACGAACTGCCTGAAACGAGTCGTCAGTAATTCCAGTCTCACTTCCTATGTGTAACTAGTTTGCATAAAGCCCGCCTCTGGTCATGATTGGCTGACAGCGTCTCTTAGCCCCACTTTATTTTTTAAGAAATATTTACATGTATATACTGTTTATATATTATTATACATAATTTATATTATATTTAAATATATGTAAATAACGTATATATATATATACACTGTAAAAAATATTCTTGGTTTAACTTAAAAAAGTAAGTAACCTGGTTGCCTTAAAATTTTAAGTTCAATGAACTGGAAAAAGTGAGTTAATACAATGAAGGAGATTAATTTAATCATCAGAAACTCAAAATTATATGTTATCTGAACTAAATAAATTATTTAAGTTGATTTGACAAGTGAAAAAATGTTGTGATTAATACACTGTAAAAAAATATTGTTGGTTTAACTTAAAAAAGTAAGTAACCCGGGTTGCCTTAAAATTTTAAGTTGATTAAAGTGGAAAAAGTGAGTTTATACAATGAATCATCAGAAACTCAAAATAATAAGTTATCTCAACTAAATAAATGATTATAAAGTTGATTTGACAAAAGAAAATATGTTGTGATTACAAATCTTGAAAATATTTTTTTACAGTGTATATATATATATATATATATATATACACACACACACATATTATGTAAACAAAAACTTTTATTTTGTATGCGATTAATGGTTTCCTAGCACTATAAAACATTTAACAATGATTATGCTTTCTGTTCATTGGATGAAGTGATTAAATAATAGTACTATTAATTCTGCTACAGTCAATTATGAAATAATTCAAACATTTATAATTAATTCTAAATATCTTTTGAGCTAATTTGCTTGCTACTGCACAAAACTTTTATTTTGGATGCGATTAATCACGATTCAGCTCTATAAAAAAACATAAGAACGCTAATAAAACAGCACAGCACTCACTAAACTAATAAAAACAGTAGGACTCACCAGGTGCACGTAGGGAACGAAGTATCCCAGAACCGCAGTGGCGACACCGAACGCCCAAACCCGATAGGTCAAAACGCTGAACACTCGCACGTTAAAGTACTTCCTGATTTTGCCCAGGCTCTTCTGCCACCGGCTCGCCGACTCCAGGCCTGACGGGGGTCCGTCTATTCCCACGCCCGGCATCGGCATCATCCCGCTGGGCATGAGCGGTTTAAAGGTGAGGGCCAGCAGAGACTGGACCAGCATGAAGATGCTGAGGATCTGGAAGGTTCTGGAAAGACCCAGCGGTCCCACCACCTTCTTCAGGAGCACCGGGAGCCCCATGGAGAAGAGGCTGCTGCCCGCCGTCACCACACCGTTGGCCAATCCCAGTCTCTGCCGGAAATAATGCCCCAGGATCACCAGAGACGGCTGGAACGCGAACGAGGACCCGCAGCCGAAGAGGATCCCGTATGTGAAGTAGCGGAGACCCAGCGTGCTGAAGAGAGAGAGAGAACACAGGGAACACATGTGAGGTCAAACTAGCACCTTATTACTGGCTTTGCTGTTAAAGCTTGATAAAATTGTTGAAAATGACCCGGCACATATAATAGCACACTGTGTTAAAACTTTTGCTGATAGTTTACTCTCCCCCATGTCATCCAAGATGTCCACGTCTTTCTTCCTTCAGTCGAAAAGAAATGAAGGTTTTTGATGAAAACATTCCATATAATGGACTTCAATGGGGTCCAAACGGTTCAAGGTCCAAATGAGAGTTTCAGTGCAGCTTCAAAGGGCTTTAAACGACACCAGATGATGGTACGAAGCTGTGAACGTCAAGTACAACCTAATCCAACGCAAATAAAGAAATTCAAAGAAAAGATGCAGTGATGAACAAGTGATGAATGATCACTGACTTCTTTGTCTAGTCCATACACAGCGCTGGCTGAGCATTCTGGGTAAAATAAATGTGCTTTGGAAAGACTCGTGCAAACATAAAATACAAATGCATGGGTCACTCTCATAATACTTTCACCTTTTAAGTTGAATTACTGAAATAAATAAACTTTTGGGCCATATTCTAACTCTTTTCTTTCTGGAATCCACCTTGAGAGTTATCCAAAGAAATCAAAGTTATCCAAATCTTACTGACAAGTTTTGACGGAATCCAATAGTTTTAATCTGGATCAAACCTAATCTGATTTCAACAAGCCATTTTCAAGATTTGATCCAATCCGATGACCAACATCCGATCAGCTGACCTTTAAACAACTGGCTCTTTATGTTTATATCCTTTAATAAGGCCTGACAACACTCTCACTGTGTGTGCCGTTTGCTCTCGCCACAATATATTCATGCTATATTGCTCGGTTCAGTTCAACAGTTTATGGGGAAAAAATCTAATAAAAATGCTTTACAGAAAAATATTTATCTTCTGAAATCTGTGCAAGAAATAAATATGTACAAATAAATATAGATTAAAAAATATTGTTTTACGAAATTATATATATATATATATTTTATATATTTTATATATATATATATATATATATTATCATTATCATGGTATATGCATCAGTTATAGAAAAATAAATCTAATAAAAATGCTTTACAGAAAAGTATTTTTCTTCTGAAAAATGCACAAGAAAGAAATTATGTAACAATAAATATTATGGATAAAAATGTTGTTTGATTTTTTTCAAAAATGCACAAGAAAAAAATTATATAATAATAAATATATTACATAAAAAGATTATTTTTGGAAAAACGCTCAAGAAAAGCATAATTTAATGATGGATATATTATAGGAAAATATGGTTTGATTTCCCTTTGCTCTATGTATATAGCTATGGTGTATTTGTCAGCTCAGTTCAATAGTTATATTAAACAATGCAAAAATATTTTTCCTCTGAAAAATGCATGCAAAATAATGATTTAATATATCATTAATATTGTTTATGAAAAAATTCACAAGAATATTATTGACCATAAATAATGTGGTGTGTATATGATGCAGTGGTATATTTACTAAAAGCCATTATTTCACACTGATAACCAACATTTAATCCCAAATATCTGTGAATATAACATTGTGCATTTGTTTTTTGGGGAAATTTATGATTTAAAGCTCATATATTTCAAATCTACAATACAATTTCTAAAGGATTTCAATGCACAAAGAGTTAAAAAGGAAAACTATGGAAAGGAAGAATCCAATAAAAAATACAGAAAAATATTTTTCTTCTGAAAAATGCACAAGAAAACAAAAGTAGTTTCTAGTAGAGTGTCGTTTTTGGAAAAATGCACAAGAATATTGAGCATAAATAATGTGGTGTGAATGTGATGCAACGATAAAACTATTTTTGGGGGGGAATGTTTGATTTAAAGCTCATACATTTCAAATGTACAATGAAATGTCTAAAGGATTTCAATGCACAAAGGATTAAAAAAGGAAAAAGGAAGAATCCCAAATATATATATATATATATTACAGGAAAAAAATTCTTCTGAAAAATGCACAAGAAAAAAAATAATTTAACAAATTTACAATATTTTCCAGAATTATTTAAAAAAAAAATCACAAGAAAATTGACCATAAATAGTGTGGTGTGAATGTGATGCAACGGTATATTTATATTTGCTAAAAGCCATTATTTCACACTGATAACCAACATTTAATCCCAAATATCTGTGAATATAACAGTGTACATTTGTTTTCTGGGGACATTTTTGATTTAAAGTGCATCCATTTCAAATGTACAATGAAATGTCTAAAGGATATCAATGCACAAAGGGTTAAAAAAGGAAAACTAAATGAAAAGGAAGAATCCCATAAAAAATATAGACTATATATTTTACAGAAAAAATATTTTTGTTCCGAAAAATGCACAAGAAAAAATTATTTAACAAAATGATTTCCTAGTAAAGTGTCGTTTTTGGAAAAATGCACAAGAATATTGACCATAAATAATGTGGTGTGAATGTGATGCAACGATAAAACAATTTTTGGGGGGGAATTTTTGATTTAAAGCTCATAGATTTCAAATGTACAATGAAATGTCTAAAGGATTTCAATGCACAAAGGATTAAAAAAGGAAAAAGGAAGAATCCCAAAAATATATATATATGTATATATATATTACAGAAAAAAAAAATTTCTTCTGAAAAATACACGAGAAAAAAATAATTTAACAAATTTACAATATTTTCCAGAATTATTTTTGAAAAAAAAAAAAAATCACAAGAAAATTGACCATAAATAGTGTGGTGTGAATGTGATGCAACGGTATATTTATATTTGCTAAAAGCCATTATTTCACACTGATAACCAACATTTAATCCCAAATATCTGTGAATATAACAGTGTACATTTGTTTTCTGGGGACATTTTTGATTTAAAGCGCATCCATTTCAAATGTACAATGAAATGTCTAAAGGATATCAATGCACAAAGGGTTAAAAAAGGAAAACTAAATGAAAAGGAAGAATCCCATAAAAAATATAGACTATATATTTTACAGAAAAAATATTTTTGTTCCGAAAAATGCACAAGAAAAAATTATTTAACAAAATGATTTCCTAGTAAAGTGTCGTTTTTGGAAAAATGCACAAGAATATTGACCATAAATAATGTGGTGTGAATGTGATGCAACGATAAAACAATTTTTTGGGGGGGAATTTTTGATTTAAAGCTCATACATTTCAAATGTACAATGAAATGTCTAAAGGATTTCAATGCACAAAGGGTTAAAAAAGGAAAAAGGAAGAATCCCAAATATATATATATATATTACAGAAAAAAAAAATTTCTTCTGAAAAATGCACAAGAAAAAAATAATTTAACAAATTTACAATATTTTGCAGAATTATTTTTGAAAAAAAAAAAAATCACAAGAAAATTGACCATAAATAGTGTGGTGTGAATGTGATGCAACGGTATGTTTATATTTGCTAAAAGCCATTATTTCACACTGATAACCAACATTTAATCCCAAATATCTGTGAATATAACAGTGTACATTTGTTTTCTGGGGACATTTTTGATTTAAAGCGCATCCATTTCAAATGTACAATGAAATGTCTAAAGGATATCAATGCACAAAGGGTTAAAAAAGGAAAAGTATGAAAAGAAAGGTCTTTACGTGGCGAAGGAGCTGGAGAGGAGGCCGAGGAAGGCCACGAGCGCTCCACCGACCGCAGTCTTCCGGCAGCCGAAGTGATCCGTGAACATGCTGACCACCGGCGAACAGAAGAAGATCATCCCCATCGCCAGAGCGCCGACCCATG